ATCAGGAAAGACATTTTCCCGCAAGTTGTTTTGCACTACTTCATAAGTAAAGGTTCCCTCCCCCACTACTACACCGACCTACTGCACCTTATCCAACCCTCCCAACAAACAATCTACTACTCGATTAATCTTTCCTTCCTTGACGGAAGAGCCTCATCATATACACATTACAACCATGTCTACAACAACAACAACAACAACAACGACCTTAACATTACCATCCTATGCCTCGGATGAGGTTCGAGAACTCGGAATTGAGGACTGCAAGGCGGCAGCCGACACGCTCGCGGAAGCTTTCTTCAAGGACGACGTTGCATTCTACTTTCTCGATACCCCCGACAATGGTGGAAAGACCAGGGATGAGCTCTACCCATTACACCGAGAGATTCTGGAATACATCGTTGCAGCACATTGCTACAACGGTCTTGTCCTGAGCATAGGGGAGAACCATGAAGGCGTAGCATTGTGGTAAGACCTACATACATGATTTTTATTTTTTATTACCAAGCTCCCCTTACCACCGTTCCTTCCCTTGCCCTTCTTTCTGGCTTTGCTTGCTGCACCGTGGGCTGTGCCCGACCAATGGCAGGATTTGGAAAAAGCAATTCGCTAACGCTGATTACCGGGCCTAGGATGCCGCCGGGACAAAACATGGATGACTGGTTCACAATCTTCCGGAGTGGTATGTGGAGGCTGTGGTACAAATTGACGAAAGAGGGAAAGAGGCGGTATTTCGACGAGTTCATGGAGATCCTTCATCGCACCAAGTAAGCTATTCCCTCACCTTAGGTTTCACAACGAGCCCTTTTTTTTATTTTTATTTACCTTTTCCTGTTTATTTTCTTTGCATCTGAGATGTCATTTTTTATTTTATTTTTTTATTTATATTATGTATTTCTGCCTTTGCGCTTTGTTTTCCTCATGAATTGGCTCTAGGGTCGCCTTGATCGATAAAATGGGGAGAGTCGGCTGTGTGCGGCATTGGGGAACATAATACATGTGCTTGTTGAGAATGGTATACTGACTTGCATTTTTTCTTCCAAACAGGGAGTCAGTTATGGGGGCGCAAGATAGTGACACATGGTAAGTTCCCACGTTCTGCACCCTTCTAGAAGGAGTCATGTTGTACAGGATCATCTCTAATCATTCGGCAGGTACTTGGTCTATGTCGGTGTCGTTCCCAGTGCGAGAGGGAGGGGTTACGCTAGAAAACTCATTGAATACGTGACAAAAAAGGTGTGTAGCTCAATTCCATCAATCGTTATGGTTGGGTAGGGCAGGCACAGAGCATTGGATTATTCCGCGACGCGCTCTTGTTGCTTTCTCACCTACATCACAGCCCCATCACACAGTCACAGCGCTCCACTCCACTCTGCTTCCACACCACTTTGCATGAAGGAGGAGTTGAAAGCGATTTGGCCCTATCATGTCCATCCTGACTATCTCACTCATCCTTCCGCTTCCGCAAATTTTCAATTCTTTAACCATTGAACGTTTGATATTGACTTATTTTCCCCCCTTAGCTCGACGCAGAAGGCGGTAAACCATGCTATCTCGAAAGCAGTCATCCCAGAAACGTAGCCATGTACCAGAAACTCGGCTTCGTGAAGCAGCGACATATAGTACTCGGTCCTGACTGCAGCAATCCTGCTCCTCTCGACATCATGGTCCGTCCACCTATGGATCGTCGGCGAGAAAATTACTCCTCGAGTCGCAAAATGTCAGTGGCAACCGGAGTTGGTCGGGTCCTCTCTGCATAAATGCATAAACCGGACCCAATCGGCAGAAAAAAAAAATTTAAAAAAAAATCGCTACTTTCCCTCTCAACTTACTACAACACTTTCTCCGCCTCCATCTCCTCCGTGTCCGTAAGGATCCCCCATTCGACTGGAAGGAGCGATAAACTTTATGGCATTGTAATTATGGGCTTTGGCAAAGGGGACGGAACAGGGACGAAATTTGGATGGATGGTTGATTTGCATCGGGTGGCGACCGACATTCATGAAAAGGTGTTCTTCTCCCGGGAGTCTTTCCCTTTCGTTTCTGTTAATGTTTTAACTCTCTTCTCCCGCCCCCTTCCTCACTTTAATGCTTTTCTTTTGTCTCGATTACCATATAATTATAAAGGACTTGGAGTTTTTGTGTTTTTATTTTATTTTCATCTATTCGTTTATTTATCCTACATTTTACACTTTACCCCTTTTCTCAATGTTTTTTTTTTTTTTTTTTTTTTAATGACTTTCCTTTTTTCTTAATGTCTCGGGCGGGTTTGTTCAAAAAAAAAAACTGGGATGCCGTTTGCTGTTTTTTCTTTCTTTTCCTTTCCCCTCGAGCATTATACCTGGTTCGGTTTAGACATTTTTATTGGGTGTAGACTGGCATGGGCGCCCGGCTTTTTTTTTTTTCTTAAAAGAGGAACACGATTAGAACTTTGTCCGTTATTTCACACGCACAGCTTAACTGTTGCGAGCGACGGGGGAAGCGTGCAGGGCAAAAAAAAAAGGGTTGTTATATAGATCAATTACAATAATTCTATCCTATCATCTATCATCTGTATGTCCGCGTTCGCCCTCACTAGCAAGCTGCTATACTGCAGGCTGTAACTGTGACTGCACACACAGCAAGCAAGAAGGAATGGAAGGGAAAGAAACACACTTCAGCGCATGGAATGGTATAGCACGGTGGCTGACTGAGTCATGCGGCGAACAAGCGAGCGAAAAATTTCTCCCAGCATTATCCTCTCCTCTACCACCGACCCACCGACCCACCGACCCTCGACCCCCGACCCCCGACCCCTCCGCCCCTGAGTTTTTTTGATTCGAACGATTTAACCCCCCCCCCCGGTTTAACAGGATCGCTCGAAAATTCTATATAGGCCCCTCAGGTTGGCAATCTCGGTGACGCCTTGAAGCAGAGGTGGTGGCGCGATTAGTCTCCTCTTAAAAGTAGGGAATAGTATTGTTTCAACTGCTCGGTTCAGCTCATCCTTCCTCTTTGCAAGCGCGGTAGCATCCCTCCAACCGCCTCCGCCGCCTTCTCCCTCATTGTTGTTATCCGGCGAGTCGGAGCTCGTGTCAACCTTCGGCAGTATTTCTGGAACATAGAACAGGGCTAGTTCCCGTAAAAACGTGTCGAAGCACTCAAGTTCCGAATACCAATCCACCTGGCCCAACGATTTATCAGTTCCGCTCGCTATGCGCAAAAGAGGGAGGGGATGGGGGCCGTCTCACATTGGGTCCGAGCCGGAGAATGAAAGAGGGCAGCTTTCCAAGACTGGGCATGTAGCCCTTCAGCAAAAGCGGAATACTTACCAATTCGCCCTGCTCGGTGATTTCCATTGAGAAATATTCTTTCAACAAGTCCCTTCTGCTGACGAGGGTATCCACAATCTAAACGAGTGAAAAAAAAAAGCATCTGGGTTAATAGGAAATAATAACCGATCTCGTGGCTCATGAATATTTTACCTTATAAGCACCTTCCCAATCGAATTCATTGTTAGAGTCCGGGTTGACGCCTTCCGTTTTCTTTTCATCCTCAATTGCGATTTCCAGAATATCCTTCAATGCTAAAGGAGGATTGAGACGGATGGTACCATAATTTGAAAAGTCCGAGAGCCCAATCTGATAGAACAGTTCAAAGGCAGCAGCTGCATAATCGATGAGATAGAGCTTCAGGCCGTGCTGCACTGATGCTAAACGCCTTTGTTCATCAACTATTCCAACAAAGGTATGATTATGAAACAACTCGCAGAGATCCTTGTGCTTTGTATCCCATACTGCCTTCCTTAGCTTCTTTATGGTCTGATACTTGACGGAAGTCCATTGGCGATTGTCATCATATTCGTATTCGTCACCCTCCGCGGTCCTGTCCTCTTTTTGAGATTTCGGTTGGAGCATGGTGGTAATTTTGCGATCACGAGTGTCGGCTCTCACCATATTGTAATCATAAGTTTTTTTAGGTTTCGCAACGAGTGGTTGTTTGCTTTCTTCCGCTCTACTTGCCGTTCTCGCAGCGGCCTTCTGTCCTGAGGAGTTGTCTGGGACAGCCTTGGCTGACGGAAGGAGTGCCTGTGTCAGTGCATAAGACCTGGAAGTGTCAACTGCCGCAAGCTTCTCTTGTAGCGATTCGCATAATTTTTGCACGATTTCTTCCTCGTGAAGGAAGTTGACTTCCCGCTTGGTAGGGTGTACGTTGACATCCACCCGGTGAGGCTCAATATCCAGAGACATATATGCAAACGGATGACCACCCTTTGGGAGAAATGGTGCGTATGTGGATTCAATCCCTTTCCTGATGGAAGAAGAATCTACGGAACGATCTGCCTGGGATGTTAGAACCGATGCCTTGCTTAGGTCTATAGCCAAGAGAGGTTAAATCACTGTTGATAAAAAGAAGGAGCGTCGTTTTCTTGACATGATAATTGGCATTACTTAGCATGCCCTTCGCTTTAAACCCAAGGTAATCATCTGAAACTTCAAATGGCAAGAGTTCATTCGCGACAGCATTGCCGTGAATTCGCCGGATACGATCGGTGGTCGTGGCTCCTGCCGTTGTAGATACACCCACATCTGGATCACCATACTGGGAGGATAATTTAGAACTTGACTTCAGGGAGTTTCAAAGGAGCTGCTACCTTCTTACAACTAAAAGCAACGCCTCCGCAATGCACGGCATATCTACCAACTAAATCAAGAATCTTGGCATATTCCTCTGAGGGGCTGCGGAATGCTCGACGCCGACTAGGTACATTATAGAAGAGATCTTCGACCTATAGATGGTGTTAGAATTCATGCGGCTTGATACAACCAACTCATGATGTCTGAACCCCGATCTCAAGCATTGGTGAAGCAAGTCAGGCCAGATCTGAATGCATATCTGTGTGCGGTACGCAGAGCCAGCCCGTTTCGCAAATATCTTGGGGTTGCGGGTAGAGGGAGGAGCGATGCAGTGCATTAGAGAAGGGGAACCCACGGTGATTTGTGTTCCCTTGTTGCGGTGTACCGGCTTTGGATTCGCAGGTTGGCCCGGTTTTGGAGTAATTAGCTTTGAATCTGAATACGTTGCTCTAAAATTTGGGCAAGGTTAATTGACTGAGAGTTGAAAGGTCTTAAATTGCACATACCTTAAGCCAATAGGTGAGTTTGCCGTTCTGGTCGTGATGGTCAGATGGGCAATGTGACTTATGCTCGCTAAAGCCTCACCCCGGAAACCATAGGTTCCAATAGACTGAAGATCTTCAAAGGACTGTAATTTCGAAGTTGTAAACCTTTCACATAGAATGGGCAAGTCATTTTCCTAAAATTATTTCAACCAATCAGCTATCATGAGCGAATTCCGCCTTTGCAGTGCCCAGGGCGTTGCTCACGTCAATTCCATGACCATTGTCTGAGATTTGGAGAAGCTTCAGCCCACCGTCTTTCACTAGTATGTCGATGCTGGTAGATCCCGCATCAACGGAGTTCTCGATAAGCTCTTTCAGTGCGTGGACTGGGGCCACGATGATTTCACCAGCAGCGATCTTATTAACAACTACCTGGTCTAGAGGCTGTGCATAAAAAGAGGCCGAGTCAGCACAAGCCACACAGCAAGGAGCCCCGATAAGGCACGGTAAAGAAGCACCTTTATTCTCCGGGGAAGCTGAGGAGCAGCAGAAGCAGGAGAAGGGGCGTCTGCATAGTCTGCTTTTCTCTTGGAACCTCTTGGGTCTGCGGAATCCATCGGGGGGGAGTTGAGAAGTAGAAAGCAGAGGGGTGAAGGGAAACTGTGGGAAAGATAGGAAGGCGGGGGTTGCCACACACACTGACACAGACAACTCAGCTACCAGTATCGGAGCTTGACGCGCGAACACGACATGAACCACGGGCCGCGCCTGATCCGTCAATTCCCGTGATTAGGAGTTACCCGGCTTCGGTGTTAAACTTTTATGATACGATAGCTATGATATATCGCACGTGACTCTGCTATTTCCCACAGTCTTTTTTCCTCTCAGCCGGGAAGTGTCTGCTGCCAAAATTCTTCACGGAGCCACACAATATCAATCTTATTTTTTCAACTCGGAAGCCATGGGCAAAGCCGGTAAACCTCGGAAAAAGGATGGCAGGAAAAAAGGTAGCCTTACTGCTTCTAGGCCATCAAACCCTGCAGAGAAGGCGGCCAATAATGCTCTCCGGGAATCTGTGGTCTTGCCTGTTGTTAGGAATCTCTCATCTATCTCGCCTAAAGAACGAGCGGAAGCCGTATCAGCGATAAACAATCTACTTCAAGATGCCACTTGTCGCCAATTACTGCTCCGTGAGAGAGTGGTACAAAAATTGATGGAAGAGATGCTCAATGATTCTTCGCAAGAGGTTGTTGTGTATGCCTGGGGCGCTCTCAGAAACATCTCAGTGGATGAAGGTTACGACCAAAGCATCTTTATGTATCGGAAAAATATTTTAGCCCCGGTTGCAAGCGCCTTGCAGAAGGTATGAGGAATCAAAGTCAGTTATATTTGCAAGGCTAATTATTTTGTAGATCTCTTCTACGTTAAACTCTCTTCGCACCAACCCGGGATCCCTCAGTAGCACAGAACAGAAGATCCTGTGGCTATATGCTGAAAATGTTATTGGCCTTATCGCTGGCCTTAGGTAGTCCTGAATATTGAGCGCTTAATTTTTTGATCGACGCTGAGCCCTTTTTCTAGTGAGACAAGCGAGGAGGTGGCAGAGGCAATAGTCAAACTGGACATATTACCGCTTCTTATGGAAATTCTCAAGGAACCCTCTGGGAAACTAGGAGGCTTGCATGAAACGGTAGCCCAATGCGTCTACGCTCTCACTGGGGAAAGCGACGATTTCGTCGAGGCTATTGTTTCGGACCGTTATGGCTACGTTTCTCTGTTGCTGGAGCTCCGTGATCAGTCAGACCCTAGCCTGAAGAGCCTCTATATTTGTGGTATGGGCAAGTTCTCTAATAACATTACATACATTTGACTAAGCATTATCGCAATACCAGGTTCCCTCCATAATATATCACTCGCACTAAAAGGGACTGAGGTAGCTACGGATCAAGAGATTTCTGATTTCAGCGTTGTGACGATTTTGACTGATTTTCTCAAATCAACACCTACCGCATCTCTTACTGATGACGAACAAAAAGTCCTTATCTTCAAGCAACTTGTTCTGGAAATACTGGCTTCTATAGCAACAGAGGCGACGGGTGGGGTCTCAGAGGAAGCCTTAGGAGCAGACCAGGATGGTGACATAGATTTTATTAGCGGAGATGGAGATGGGAAAGATATGACAGCCCCAGGAGAGCTTGATGAATCATTGCGAGCAGACATGGAAATGGTGGTGGGTGATGAGAGTAATCAAGAATCCCCGGACTCCGCGGAAGGAACAGTGTTGCACTATTTGATTGTAAACACTGGACCGGCGCTCCTATCGATAGTGAAATCGGGCGCCAGCGGTTCATTGCCCATCCATATACGAGCGTTGAGCGTGTTAAACAATATCGCTTGGACTGTTGATGCGACGCTTTCCGAAGGATTGGGCTTGTGGGAGAGGTGGCAGAAGCTGGCTCGCGAGATATGGCAGAGCTGCATTACACCTGTCCTCGTTGCCAATACAGCAGATGTGGAGCTCGCGGAAGCGGTTACTGGCCTTGCTTGGGCGATCTCTAAATCTATGAATGGAAGCCTTGACGTTTCACAAGGAGAGCATAGGGCATTTGTTAGCCTCTATCACGCAGCAAATACTGATGAATTACGAACGAAATGTGTTGGCGTTCTTGGGTGCCTTGGCCTTGCGCAGGGGAGAATTGAAATCAATCGGGTATTTACCTTGTACCTCTGGACTGTTAGGATACGCCTAACCTGGCTAATAGGAAATTGGTGTTTTCCTTATGACTTTGATTGTTGGCGGCGCAAATACCCCGGCAAACCCGTTGGTAGAGGCGCTGAATGCTATATTTGACATATATGCGGATGCAGAATTCGATTATGATGAACCTGTGTTTGTCAAGAGTGCCTTCCTTGATCACCTCTCAAAAGCGATATCTGGGGTCAGATCAGCTGTAAGCATCCCACTCTCATTTTTCTAAGCCAGTTCACAAGATAACACTAACACCTTAAAAAATAAATTTAGGTTAAGAAAGTCGATAAAAACAAATTCCCAGAAGATCGATTGAGGGCAGACGATGCACTGCTAAATCTGCAGCGGTTTATCGCATATAAGAAGAAGGAGAGAGAAAATTGAATACTATCTTCCTAGGAGCGCAGTTTTCGATAGATGGCGCTAGTGGTCGAGCTCCCTATGGGGATTTCTTGGGTGTGTGCTTTTTCTATTGTGTATTCTAGATTTTGTGATTTACCCATTAAAAGTCAACTGCTGCTGCGCTATACATTTTGATTTTCACATATCACTCCTTGCCGACAAGAACGTTTATAGGTCTCGCAAATGGCCAGCTACTTTAGAACCACTTTCCGCCCTATCGCAGCTGTAATTGAAACGTTAGCCCCAGGCACCGTGGACTAAGGTGCATATGCATGAACAATGTGAAATCATAACACATCACTCGTGTGCATATCCGCAACTGGTGTCTCTTATTTCTTCACTTTTTCCGAAAGAGATCCGGTGACGAAATTTGACCCATACCAGCCTTACTCGTTAGTGCCAAATCCTTATCCACCCAATCCTGTGACCGATTTTGGAAAGGGAAAAAAGAAAAATAAAGTAAGCAATTAGGCGAGAATACGCGCTCTCCAACACCCGAGAACATCCGGTTCGTTATTAGGTCAGCCATTCACCGTCAGCATTCCCCATGCGATTGCCACGATCATTCCTCCCGCCGCTGCCCTCCCTCTTTCCAGGTCATCCAAATCGGCATGTATGTAAGGCCTATGGGGTATACCGGTATGCCACAGACGCCCAGCCCTACTGTGCCGGGTGCCGTTCGGTAGGCGTGGTAATCCCTGGTTATATAACTTTAACCTTTTTGCCCCTAACTGCAGTGCGCCTAGGTACTGAGCTGTACTAGTGGCCCCCGCCTGGTGCGGTATCACATCTCTACAGTGAGGACGGGTGCGTACGTGGGATGAGCAAGTGGGTGAGCGAGAGAGAGACCATGCTCATCGCATATAGGATGATTTCCCGGGAACTTTGACTTCCCGTTTCCTGTGCCTCGTTCCTGCATCTGCCCGACCTGCCGAGCGGCCGGCTCCGTGCGTGCGGTCGAGTGATGATTCATGAGCATCGTTCTCTTTCCTGCTTGTTTGGTTCATGTGTCCTCCTGAAACATGTGTGACCGGGAAATTATTTCCGGATCGGGTTGCTGTTGGCGCCCGGGAGCTACAGTGATATAGATGAAGTAGGACACACGATACGTCTGGTGTCTTTTCCCCATTCTGTCCCGCACTGTTCCAGCTGGCGCCTGACTTGGTTCTTATGGACCCGTGTTTCTCTTCTTCCCGCGATCCCGATCTGTAAGGGAAAAAAAAAAAAACATTTCGAAGTGGTGCAGTGTAGGTTTTGGACACACAGCGTTGGTGACGGCGGCTATGGTTTTGAGCTTCATGCCGCCTAGTGGGAAATCAAGTGTGGTGTGATATGAGCTGGGAATTGTCATGAATGTATGCTGTCGGCACAAATGTTGGAATGACGTGGTTGACCCTGCTGAGAGCCGACCGGTCATGGGTGGTCACTCGACTATCGGATCTGGAACGGGTGGAAGCACTTCAGCTATGGTATATTGTTTGTTTGTTTGGTGGTGTTGATCGGGCCCTGGATAGTCAGTTTTCCCTGCCTCCTTACTAATAAGCTGGGCTACTATATGTACATTGGTAGATCCGGTTGAGATAGTTGAACTCCCTAGCTGTTGTATCATAGGCTGGGCATGTAATATTAAGCCCTAGGCTTCCAAAGCTGAATAGAAAAAGAGGTATCATATGATAACTAGATCCGGGATCAGCGTGAAAGACCCTGCGTCCAAGAAGCGTTTAACTCAGCTCCGTGCTCATAGGAGGCTTATGTTCACTATTTAATTGATATGTATACATACACTGCATTTTTGGAGTACCGTCTAAGATACACTGATATATGATCTTGGGTAGTTTTCACTGGCTGTGCCTAGCTTTAACAGCTATTAGTGACATCTACTCTCCAGCGGGTGAGGAGTGACAGAAGGACGTGCGGGAACTCGAGAGACCAACGGTTCACAAGGGGAAGAGAAATGACTTCAATAAGGGGAAGCTGTATGCATCAATAATAGCTTGCTGCTGCTGTACCTAGTTCTAGAGGAATTAAGGTAGGGAGAATATTGGTGTTCCTCTACCGGGAGATATGCAGTTGGCTTGGTACAAAGAATGAGGTTGAAAGATTTACACATTACTGAGATAGGCGGCCGGAGATTATCAGCTACGTGATAGGAATTACCTGTAGGGAGTGTTTTCCAGTAGCTAGGTGTCAGCAACAAATGCATTTTCAAGAATTGCATTTATAAATATTGGCGGCTGTTTGTCAACCCCGCAATCTCCACATCTTGGACGGGGCAGTTGAAACTGCAATATATGCAGTAGAGAACAGTTGAGCGTTGGCTTTGTGGAGGGGAAAGATTTTGAGGGAACTGTGCATTCCAGATGGGTATCCCAAGACCCCCAAACATACGCCCACACACTGAGTGGCTCAAGTGCCAAAATGTTTACCGTTTACAGCAAACTTGTTGGGATAATTGTCTGTCTTGGAGCAGCGACACGAGTGATTTCTTGTGTTGCCAGATTATTGGCACCTGCAGTATAACTGGACTCTAGTCGATGCTTAACGTACTTTACAGCTCAATGGCACTTTGTGGCTCACCATAGTAACTCTGTGGCTCAACGGTACTTTGTGGCTCAACAGCACTTTGTGGCTCAATGGCACTTTTTAACTCAATAGCACTTTGTAGCTCAACAGCACTTTGTAACTCAATGGCACTTTGTAACTCAAGACAACTGTATAAATTTAGATATTCATAATGTTGAAATAATAGAGATACTTTCATGTCCCAGAGAGTTGATCTATACAGCAATCAATCGTGCCTCCACATCCAGCCTTTATTCTTCCAAGCTAGTGAGTCGAACCATATGCTGCTAGTGAGATTCAAATTCAAGCTGCTGTCGCCTTTCTACATACCAGTAATAACTAGTATCCCAACTTTGCTGAAGTTGCATGACAGTACGAAATACCAGTCAGGAGACTTCAAGCACATTTTCAAGACTGTCAGTCCTGTCAGGAGCAACCTGGAATGAACCATAAGCTCACTGGGGATCAAGAACTAGCTGACTGCCAGTATCTTGATCGCTTGGATAAAGTTGGAACTAGTGTCCATTTGCAAATTGTATCAAGCTATGCAAATGCAATTCTCAAAGATGCACATACTGGTACCGGACTAGCACCTCTTGTAAGCGCACAGTAGGCTCCGAGGTTCCTAGATCGATACCCTCAGTATTTTATCAGAAAACAATAGACTATCCATGCAGACAGGAAGAATGCACATCAATCAGATAACATTTGTGAATGGTTTTAAAAGTATCTTGATGTCCGCCAAATGCATGAGATTCAATCCCAGTACCTGTACAACTTTGATGAAACTTGTTTCTGTATTGGTGTTGGACGTGACTAATGGATTATTACTTGGGATCCAACTCGGCAGGCATATCTTGGAAGCTCTATGAATCAGGAGCTAGTAACTATCTGTGGAAAAATAAGTAGTGATGAAGCTGTGTAACTACAAATAATTATTGTAATTGGAGTAATCCATCAGGAGCTATGGTATACTACTACCATTATTGTAACGTATTCGCAAGGTGCTAATCACATTATCGGTAATAGATACGATAGTTGGCAGATAGCCTGCTCTTCTACAGAGGAGGTGAGAGCTGTGAACTAAAGGAGGCTTTGAGGGTGTACTGAGGAACAAAGAAGTAACTGTTCAACCAAGTATATTGAAATACTGTTTGTTGAAGTCTGCCTTTTCTATCATGGAATTAGGCAGTCTTTAAATACACAAATCTGCTCATATCTAGCATGAATGAAACTAATCAAAGGCATCAATCGATACACTTTGGTAAAACAAACCAAGTATCAAAGCGATACTTAAAACAAAACATAAAACAAAACCAATAACCGAGTACCTGTATCGGTTACATTCCCCAAAACAAAACAACTGTTTAAACAAACAAACAAACAAAAAAAAACTAATAATCATCAGAAGCCGAGTCTGAGAAACTAAAAGCTTCAATGTCTGCTATAAGTTCTTCATTATAAGTGTCATAACAAGAATAAGAAGAAATTCTAAGAAAACATTTTGACTCAAAGAAATGCAGATCACAGTAGTCATGAATACCAGATTCATGCTGTACATCTACCTAAGCATTATTGCAATCAGGACAGTGGTCTACCCAGAGGATAGTGAAGTAGTCTTCCAGTTGAATAACATCACAGTTCAACAACAGTCTAACAAGCTGTTGTTGCAGCCTCACATTGAGTTCCACATAGTTTGACATCGTTATAGTATTCGGATGGTGGACGGCGATCAGATAAGGTTGTTGAGAGCCTGCTCAATAGCCTGGTTCTCCTCATTGCTGCTTTCGAATTCCGATTCAAAGTATAGTGCCCAAAACCCATCCCTAGCGTTGAGTTCCATCTGCCATCGTTTAGTTTCTGGCATCGTTGGTGTCCAGCACATTGTGATAGAATTGATTGTTGGAGGGAGGGATTTATTTGGCATGTTGTCCTTCCACCACTCATTCACCATATCCATAGCATGTTCCAGTCCTTCTAGTAGTTCCCAGCTGTTTTCACTCGTTGGGTATCCTTTCCATTTAACCAGGAACTGATCATTTCCATGCCAAGGGTGGTGGTCTCTGATTTTCTTCAACTTCCCATTTATCCTTTTTATCAATGATGATAGGTGTGGGTTGAGAGTGGATTCTTCCAGAGAACTTGGAGTTGTTATTTGGGTAAAATCATTTGACAGCAGAGGCATGAAAGACAGCAGTATTGCGGCGATACATGTGTCTATCCATCTGGACAGTGTAGTTTTCTGTATGCTCGTCAAAGGATAAGACCTTGAAAGGTCCTTGCCATTGGGGTTGTAGTTTCTTGCTGTGTCCAACATTGGTAATAAACATCTTTCCATGCACCATAAACATATTGCCTGGTAGAATAGGAATATTCTTGTGTCGTCGCTTCTGAGCAGTAGTGGTACTCCAGAATCAGGCAGCTTTAACAGCTTGGAAGGCATCATTCCAGATAGCTTAGTGGCGATTTAAGTAGTCATCTGAGGTGAAAATTGAGGAGTTCTTGAATAGGGTTGTAGGCAGTAGAGGGTATTGACGGCAGAAAATTACCTTGTATGGAGAC